GCTGATGTAATCAGTAAGACTTTTTAAATATTGGGCATTATTAGAAGGACTACCCAAAACTTCACTCATCTGAAGGCTTTGAAAACACTTTATTGTGCTCTCGTTTGCCCCCATTTGAAGTATGCGTCTGGTCTCCTTCTATGAGTCCCATATTCAATCTCTGAGTCTGGTTGACCACAAGTTCCTAAAACAAAGGGCGTATCAATTAAATATTCTGGATCACTATACGGACTCTGAAGTACTAACTTTACTCAATATGTCACCAATTGTATCGCGTCACAAAAAAAGAGATCTCCAAATTTTTTTATTATATAATACATGGCAGAGCCGCAGCTCTAGAGTTGCTCCACAAAGTTGATACAATCGTTCCTTCTAGAGCCGCCAGATCTACAGATACTTCCCTATTTACCAAACCAATTATGGTCCGAATACATTTATTCCCAGAACTGCAAGATTGGCCAATCAATCAAGAGATAGATTTTTTTGCAACTTACAAAACATTCCTGCATTGGGTCCATGGCTGTCTTACGTCCTCAATTCGGGCAATAAACTCTGAGAAGACTTGGTCTGTCATCTCAGCAACAGCACTTCGTGCAAAGTGAGAAACAGAGAGATCACAATAATAATAATGAAGAAGTACCTACTCATGAAGCTACCACACTTTGTGCATAATCCAACTACTGTACCATCTTCTCTTACGCGTGATACCACCTTACTGCCAAAGGACACAAATTACGCTCAAGGCCCGTCTAAGTATCGACCCCTTACATGCCTACCAACAATTTACAAGTTATTAATGGCGTGTATTAGAAACAAAATATATAATCACTCCCAAAACAACGACATTATTGCCACTAAACAAAAAGGTTGCATCAAGAAGTCACAAGGACGCAAAGAACAACTACTAATAGACGCAACAATACTTGAATAAGCAATACACGAAAATAGAAACTGTACACCGCCTACGTTGATTATCAGAAGGCGTTTGCCTCTGTGCCGCATTCCTAGCTCAGGGTTTTGGGCTTGTATAAAGTGAGCGCTCCTATCACAAACCTTTTACGCCACCTAATGGGCAAAAGTGGTCCACCCGACTGGTCCTTGACTCCAAAGATGGGAATATGGAAATGGAACCCGTAAAAATACAAAGAGGTATATTTCAAGGCGACTCATTGAGCCCCCTTTGGTTTTGCTTAGAGCAACACACATTTCCATCTCTTGAACCCAAGCGAACACGGATTTGCGCTAAAATACCAGAAGCAAATATTGCACAAAGTGACACACCTAATGTTCATGGATGACATCAAGGTTTATTCTGGAGCCAAACGCCATGTGGTGTCACCCCTCAGAGCCATTGAGATATTCTCACGTGATATCGGCATGTCATTTGGCCTGCGTGCGGTGCCGGTTCTCACATAATATACCTTTGGTGTAATTAAGTGGACGAAAACTGACCTGGAGGAATTGTGACGTAAAAAAAGAACACTGCTTACAAAATATAGAACGGCTCTCTCAAGATCTGCTAAAAAAAGACTCTTAATCTTGAAAACTCAAGATGGCCGAGGGCCTATTGATATCGAATATCTACACAAGCAACAAATCGATAATCTCCAAAAATACTTCTACTCCAAAAGAGATTCGAACCCGCTACTATGCACCATTTTACGAGCTGATAGAGGCTATACTTCACTGGATTTACAGTCTGCCAACGTAGACATTAACTTGCCATTTGAAACAGAATAGGTTCATTTACGAATGGACGCATGAAAGCAGAAGGCCATTCACGGAAAACACCTTCACGACCTTTCTGCCGAGAATGTGGATCAGGAGTCATCTAACCTGTGGCTCTCCAGGAGAGAGTTATTTTCTGAAACTGAAGGTTTCCTAATGGCCATTCAAAATATGGTTATTCCAACTGCTAACTATAGGAAGCATGTGATAAGGGATCCCGAATTCCGAGACGATAAGTGCAGGAAATGTAATCGTGCTTTGGAGACAATACAGCACATCACTGCTTGCTGTACAATTCTAGCGTCAAATGAGTACCTGCACCGGCATAACTGTATTGCAAAGATTATACAACTCACTGTACATTTTTCCCATATGACACGGAAGGCTTAAAAAGTGATAAGCCTTTTGGGATTATCGCGCTTGGTGGCATTTATGACAAATTCTATTATAGAATTTTTTTTAAATTTTAAAGTATTAAAGTTTAGTTCGTTGTATAACCTTTTGAATACCACTCGATGTTTCAGGATTACCTAATACTTTTACCTGACACTTAACGCGTTACCAGCAACACCAAGCCTCCTTCGGAGTTGTAGTGTTGCTGCGTAACGCGTTTCGTGACAGTTAAAAGTATTATCCGGTAATCCTAAAACCTCTTGTGGTTTACATTCGATAATCCACCTAAATTTAGTCAAAACCATGATCCAATAGCAACATGCAAGAAACCATACAGTTTAGAGTATTGAAATACACAGAGCTGTCCGACGTAATTAAAGAGCAATGACAGTTGAACAAGGTGACGGTTGTACCGATAGTCATATCCACCACTGGGATTGTACATGACTGTACCACAGATCACCTAATACAGATGCGAAAGTACGTATTCTTGCCGTCGACGATATTCTGTGACGAAGCCGCGGAGCCAGCTCCCCCCCGCATAGATACAGATCGCCCGCGTCAGGACAATTAACGTGGCCGAGTGCGTGAGCATGTTCCAGCCTGTGTGTTTACATATTTTTGCGGGTGAAAAAGAATATTTTTTTGCTGTTTGTGAACCAATTAAAGAAATAATATTATATTATTGAGCTTCCGCATTTATATAATAAATATGTTCAAAATACATTGATGCGGCATTGGTGCGGCCAGCTTATGTCCATCAAATTATTTATGAACCGCGAATTCGCTGCTGTTTCGCATCTGTATGTACGTAATCTGTGACTGTACTTACTACTCTAGGTGGCAGTGCTTTTGTTCTCAGTTTTCCAATTTGACAGCCGTTAAAAAATAATCAGGGGTTTGAATGTGCTCTAACCACATCGTACTTACAGACCTTGGCCCATGCAAAACCTTGTTAAAAACAACGTATCAAACTCGTTAATCGAGATCAAAATTATCGGCCCTAGGACTGCCAAAACACTTGGTGGTTGAGATACAAAAGTTGGTGATTCTAAACACCTATCGCATATTGTGCACTTTTCTCAAAATTACATAGAGTGCTTAAGTGATTTCCATCTTACCAGCCGACAGATGTTGAGCAAAATCCGCATGAAATGTGAGAAACATAATAATAATAATAAAGACAAAGGTACCTACCTTACATCGTAGTTGAACAACTACCAAAAAATCGAAATGCAATTGAAGGGCTACCGATAATACGAAGAACTCAGGAATTTCATCTTAATTGGAGCTGCAATGGATACGCTGAAAGCATACAGTTGAAGTAATCTTGGAGAGTTGAAAGCCGATAAGCCAATTTTTAACGATAAACTTAGAATTGACGATCAGGAAGAAAGAAGTAGTAAGGACTTTGACCAAGAAAATAAATTTTCGATTAGAGAGGAATGAGATCATAAAGAAATAGGAGAAGCCGCACCTGTTTGGAAGAGTATAGTATTTTTTATGGCAACAATAATTTTGAGGGATGGCAAGTAATAAATAGAGCTACCCCCTCTGGAAAGTATTCCGGAGTTATTGATTTTTTGGCATGTCGTTTGTGGATAGTCTGTGAAGTAGAAACGAAGTTTTCGATTTCGAGGACCCTGTGCTAACTTGGGGGGCAGTCGAAAGACCTAGAAATTTTCGAACTTTTTTAGTTTTTTGCTCATAGCTTCTAAACCATGCGTGTTTAGTGGAATACACCTATTTATAATGTTGAAGAAAATTAAATTTCCTTCAAATTTAACTATTCAAAAGTATTCTTTACCGCAATAGTAACCGAGATACCGTGGTTCAGAGATCCAAAAAAAATCTCACCTTGTCAAGGATTTCTTCCCGTCTGAACATAATTCAAACCAAGCATGGGATAGACATCTTTTATCCTCGTCTCTTTCACGTGCGCTCAGTCTACTGTGCCTCTGAATTATTTTTTATTGTATCCTATTTTAATAATTATTTTTGGAAAACCTTTTTTGATTTTGATTTTGACGTCATCCGTGCTAAACTCGCTTGTACTGACCATCCACCTTTCCTGGATACAAAAAAGCTATTCTCAATAGGCACAGAAGCTGCTACTCCTAAAGTTCTGAACTGCCACTTAGCTCAAACTATTGGTATCACCTGTATGAAGACCTGTTTGGAAAAGGGAATTTCCAAGACATGAAATTGAAGCGGAAAGATAAGGTTGTTTCTCTTATCTCTAGCATCTGTTTCCTGTCGTGTGAAAATTATTAAAGACAAAAAGTTCACATACACCCTCTCACTCTCTTTCAACGGATTCGCATAATAAAACAATCACATAAGGACCTTAGAAACTTGTTGAAATACGGGCTAGCCTAGCCCCCTTCCCGATGTCTCTCTTCACAGAGGAAGGTATGCACAAGAGCACAAAGTCAATGTTGTATGTGGCATTCACTCCTATAAAAAAAAAACAGTTGACTTTGGCAGCAGCAAATGCGCAGTTATTGATGGTGGGTACCTGCTACATATGTGGAGCAAATCAAGATATACGACATTTGAATTGTGCCAGAATTATGTGCAGTATGTTCAAAGACACTTCGGGAGCAATGCTATAGTGGTTTTTGATGGGTATCCTGTTGGAATAGGTTACCAAAGCCCCAAAGCAGTAGAACGATATCGAGGATCTTTGATGCACTCATAGTCAAAGTTTGTGTTTTCCAAAGTTATAGAGCAAACACCTTTATTTCTATGCTATTTTTTATCTGAGAAATTACTTAAATTTTTGAACCACTATATCTCACTAACTATTGAATCGAATACTTTTGGCCAGTGAAATTTAATATATTACATCGTGATTATAAATAAATGGATAGATATTTGAGAAATTCGTGATCTTTTATTAACTAACATAGTAACATAATACATTTATATTCAAAAATTGTTTTCTTTATATTTTATATTTACCAAAATCATGTACACTTTCAATATGAAATAGCTTTCGAAACACTTCTGGTATTCTTTCTTCTTTAGTTTTAACATTCGTAACATATTCAATATGTTCATCGACATCTTCTTTTATACTTGGTAACTGTTTATCATTTTTCAAAGGCTTTGGGGCGTTTTTGTCGAAATAGGTCGTTAATCTTAAATGGTTTAGAATATTCAAAAATCCATATCCTCTAGGTATTAAGCTAATTTTTCACCTTGTTTGCATCTCAACCAACTTCCTAGCACTACATAGAGGTGTATCGAAAGGTACAACCTGTTTAAATCTTTTGTAATCTACTATATATGTGTTCTTTGCTTCATTGTAATCAACACAAGCAAGAAATCTATGGCCCCACATTACATCTGCGTTCGAGTAGGATGTTCGGTTTTGGGAAACTTGGCCTGTTATCGTGGAACTTCCTTCTGCTACTGCCACTATCTCAAACCTGAATAAAAATGTTTAAGATATCATTATTGGTTACTGGAAAACTCTTTACCTAGCATGTAAAAATTCAAAAGGTCTAAACTTCCATAAAGGACTGTCTTCATCTATAACATGTTCAATTTCAACAGGGAATATCAACAAGCCATGCGGTTGAGTAGTCATTTCCCTCATTTCAAAATCTTCATCTAAATCATTTTGCTCCTTGTTCACATAATATAGAGAGATATTAGTGCCACACCAGATTTTTTTGGAGAAATCGTGGATACGGAATATGAAACAGAGTTTTCCATCGCGAAGACAGACCTAGAAAAATTTCCAATTAATTTTTCCAACAAAAGAAAAAACATATCAGCATTACCACAGCGTTTTTACTAAAAATAGATGACGATTTTGTAAAGGGCTTCGATGTCTTAACATAAACTGCACTAACTAGTGCTCCTTGGACGCACGTATTGAAAATTGCTTGTAACATCAGTAGTACCCAACCTCCTGTACAATGTTCTGTTGGATATCTGTATCCATATCCAATAGTTGTCATGGTTTCAATACTTAGAAGCAGATATCCTAAAAAAAGCAATGTGAAAAATCTTGTTCAAAACAATATAGTTATAGAACATGATTTGTAAATACCAATCTTCAGAGAGATTATCGTGAATTGTGTAGTTTAGAAATCTATAACACCTTAGGTGGAGATATTATATCGGACTGTTACTTTGGTCCGAGTGCTAAGCTGAGTGCAAGAAAAATTTTCTCCCACTTTATTCTTATGAATAATCGTCATTCGGTCATATTGTTATTTCAAGGTGCTCTGTCATTATCATTATCATTCACTACGTTAGAGAAATTTGATTTTTTCCTGGGATAATGATACTGTTTGGACGTTATTGGAGGATAAACAAGGGGGCCTAATGGAGCCTGTGTTAGTGATCTATGAAGGTCACCCCTCCGACACATCCAGATCTACCACTTCAGCACATCCAAATCCAGATATTTATGATTGTAAAATTTGTAATTTTCAAAGAAGTTACAATCAAGTGAAATTATTTTTGTACTAATGCGGGATAGTACTATCTCTGCACCAAAAAGCTTTCGGAAAAGTGGGTAATCAAATTATTCTCACCTGCAAATGTTCTAGCATTAACGATACACGCCTTATCAGTATTATTTGAGGATTGATCAAAATCGCCACTGATGTTTGCCAGAAACATCCACAGCCAGCTGAACAAAATAAAGCAAGCAAAATTAACTAAACACAATGTGGTTAGGATCCACCTCCATTGTAATGTTAATATAGTGTTTCCCAAATCTCGTATGTAGTACAGGTTCTTATGGGGAACTTGGGTTAGAAATGTGTTTAGCCGTCCAGATTTCCTTACTATGCGAGAGAGATTGAAGTAGTTTGTTATGCTAGATCTGAGTTGTCTGAAACAAAAAAAAAAAAAAAGCACAAAAGGAGTAAGAGTGCATTATTTACTTTAAGTCGTCTACCTTCTTTGTCTTCGCTTTCTTAAAACCAGCAAGGGTTCCAAAGCTTTTACTGTATCAGTAGGACAAAATTCCTCTTCCACTTCTTCATCACTTTCAGAAAACTCATCAAAATCAACTTCAACATATTCATCAGTAGTAAAGTCATACTTAAACATTTTTTACTTAGTGCTATCACAGACAAATTGACCAGAAAATATTTTTGATGTGCTTTGAAAATTGAAAGTTTTTCGGAATGAGTTTCTATAGTATATTTTTCCCACGATAGACAAGACTACTATCGACAACATCGAAACCTTAAAAAATGCCGTTTGGCGCTTATTGGTTGGAAAATGCCGGGTCCCTGCAGTCTACGTATCGTTTTATAGGGTTGAAATCAGTTTTACAGTGAATGTCGCGAAAATGTAATAGCAAAAATTTTTTCCAGCGTTCTCTCAGTGTAAAATGGGTGGGGAGTGTTGATTTTCGAAATTCAAGTTGAATTTATGTGTTCCGAAACACCAAAGGAGCCGACGCCTGTTGTCGCTTCTCTATTTGTTGACTGCAGGAACATGGCATTTTGCGACCAGTAATTAGAGGCATTGTTTACGTTTTCAATGTTGCCAATGTTGGTAAAAAATGCAGCGCATAGGTTAAAGTGAGATTAAAAGTTAATATCAGGGAAATACAGAGCCTTATTTAAAAACGCACTCTTATTTCATATTTCGAGAAACTTTGGTTTATCACGAATTAATGGCACAGAATATAAAAATATGATCATATATACTGATACTGGTGAAGAAACCTAATATATTGGAGCGAAAGAAATGGTTAAAAGTACCTCAAGATGTTTTAAATTTTTTTGTGGTTCTCAACAAAATCACTCTGTATATGATAAGTCAAAAAACAATATTTTATTGTTTGCGCCAAGAAATTTTTGTGCTTCACTCTATAGATTTTGATCCAGTCAATTCCTTTGTTTTAACAAATAAGAACAGTTTATTTAGCTTAGCTCACTACCGATTATTTATAATAAGAAACCGAACAAGTATTTTTTTTCATAAATTTTTAACTCACTTATTACGCACTCGTTTGAATCACTGTTTATTCATGTCATCAGTTTTATCATTTAGGTCTATTGCTCACTCCAGATAATTAGTAAATATACGAAACAGATAGTATGTACCTACCTGAGTTTACTTTCGAAATCAAGTGTACGTTATCAAGTTTATCTGGCTTTGATTCACTTTTTTAAGGAAGCTTAAATTAGCAAATGTTTATTGCCTTGTTCAAGATTAGATATCAGATTATAAGATTTGTAATGGGTAGCCCCTTTTGGAGGGACCGATAATTTTATTATATTATAGTATAAGTTGAAACAAAAGATTTTTCTACAGTAAAAGCGAGGCAATTGGTCAATAATAGATCAGGTGCGTCTGGCAACAGGGATGTACTCGCTCACAAGTGCATAACATAAAAATTTTCTTCAGCTATTTAAACACTGCCACAAATCATTTTGTCGATGTTTTGAACAATTCAAATTCAGTCTTTGAAGCCAATAAGGTTTTTTCCGAAATATTTTGACGTGCACAATTGTAAAAGTAAAATTAAATGAGGGTCGCCGAAAAAACTAACGGGCATAATCATATGCCTTTATTTTCTTCCCTAACCCCTCCACTGGTAATGCCCTTGCTGGTGCCATTCACACTTTTTTTCAATCTGGAAACTTTCCACTCTTCTTGAAACAGGCAATTGAAATACCTTTCTATAAAGCGGGGGAAAAGGAGTCCCCAGTAAACTACAGACCAATCTCCTTGCTTCCTATGCTCACCACGATCATTGAAGGCCTCCTCAAGACTAGAATGCTGGATTTCTTGAATCATCATCAATTGCTTTCACCTTCCCAGTTTGGATTTCAGTGTTCGATGAACACAAACGATGCAAATTTCAATCTCCTGGAAACAATATATCTTATCTCAGTTTAAAAAAAGGTGAAGCAGCCTCGGCAGTTTTCTGCAACATAGCAAAGGCCTTCGATCGTATTGATCACGAGGTTTTGCTAATTAAATTTAACACCTATGGCTTTAGAGACACAATTTTGCGCTGGTTTAAGTCCTATCTTACAGGGCGCCAGCAGGTTGTGGAGTTCCAGGGTGAGCAGTCTGCGGTGGGTCTCTTGACTGCTGGAGTTCTGCGGGGTCAGTTCTGGGAACCCTGCTATTCCTCATCTATATTAATGACCTTCCGCACTCAATTTCTCAGGGTCATTTCACATCATTTGCTGATGACACTACCGTTCTCTGGTTCCAGAGGAGACCCATGAACCTTCGTGACATTACTGGAGTTGAACTGGGGGCGGTTAGGGATTGGTGTGTATCAAATAAGCTCAGCTTTAGTTTCAGCAATACAAATATTCTTAAATTCGAGGGAGACCTTGGTGAGGTTTCGTTTGGCAGCGAACTGATCGAAACTGACCCTTCAGCAAAATTTTTTTATCTACTCGTGGATTCCAGGTTACGATTTGATTGTCGCACAAGGCTGTTAATGCGGCAGGCTTTCATCGGGGTGTTATGCTATCCGGGCGGTCAGATCACATTTGAATAGGACTATAGTCAGAAGCGTTTATTTCTCTGTTGTTGGAAGCCATTTAAAATATGAAATTTTTTAGCGTCGTTGAGCTTATCTTGTGGTGATTACTTTTCTCTACGTACGCTTAAAAGGCATTTCGCGGCCTTGGTATACAAATAGGTAACTATTATTGTCATTACGCTTCACGAGTTCCGAGCCTAGAGTCCTACTGCACCACGTGAAAATGATAGGAGGAGGGGGGAGGAGTAACAATATCAATAAAAAACCACGGTTTATCTGGCCCGGATGATAGCACCCTGCTGTTTCAAGTGTGAGATCTTTGGAATAGATACACGCGATCCAGCAGCAGAACCAGTTCACCTGGTCAATAATTATTTCCGAATAGCTAACGCTGTTTAAGTCGGGAATGCTAGCTCGTTTGGCGTACCAACTGAACACTATCATTAATCAAAAATCCCCGAGAGAATCGCTAACCGGTTATTGCCAAACATTGCAAGTCGGTTCCAGAGTACCGCTACTCTTACAGGGATTTTCTTCTCACGGAGATTTTTACTGATAGTGTTCGGATACGCCAGAAAATGGCACCACACTCGACTGAAATCTGCATTGATAATGTGAAAATGAATTACCTGGCCAACAACTTCTGGTTTCCGCTTTGGATTCTACACTGCACTGACGAGATAGAAGAACATCGGAACGTATCTCTAGTTAGATTTGCACCAAAAACTGGGCACTGGTTGGCAATAATTTGACACTCAAATTTACGTGGTAGCGGTGCACCTGAAAATGACTTCAATATCTCTGTGCTTGGTTTCGAATACGCCAAAACAGCACCATAGCTGAGCTGCGATCATTGGTTTAGCGGGGGTACTATAGGAAACCAATAATTTTGATGACAGGAGAAGCGGAAATAATAATTTCGATAAGTGCTGCAGCCAGCTAGTATATTATTTTTCGAACACCACAAAAATTACAATTTGAAGGTGCAGCAGCAACAATAGCAGGAACATCCAGAGCTTGTTGTTGTCTATTTTCAGGAATAGGTTTATCCGAAGTTGTCGTGTTGATTTGAGTACTGGATGCAGAATGACGTTCAGCCAATTATAGTGATGTAGCTGAATCAACTGCTTGGGCCAAAGCTAAACTATTACCCACATAACAAAATTGCATCTTTAGAATGTAATGATGAGAATGTTTTTTTTTAGGAAGAATTTGCCTAGAATGTTTGCCAAATCCATTGCGAATGTCCTGAGAATGATCTAAAAAAAGATTTAAGAGATACTGTTCGCAATACCCAAGACATTCTTGGAAAATCCATTAAGATATTCCTAGAATAAACCTATGAGGTTCTCAGAACATCCTGAAAAGAATATTATTTGATTCTAAGAATATGCTTGAAATGTATGTTCTCACATTCAAAGAATGTTTTAATAACATTATAGTTATGTTCTCAAATGAATATTATGCCAATATGCTTGAAATATTCTTAGAATATATCTACATACTATTCTCAATATGCATCCTAGACATAACATCCAAATAATGCTCCTTTTACATTATAGGTAGTGAAAGTTGTTGGAGAATTTCATGGAAAACACACGCGTTTAACCAAAAGCTCCGGTTTCGAGCTTTTCATGTTCTCGTCAGTCGTCAGCGCAATATAAGCGGTAAGCACACTACCTCAGAGAAACAGGTTCCAAGGAGATTCACATGATAAAAAAGATATAGATCTTCAATAGCGCGTGGTTGCCTTTCTTCGAAGTCCTACAAAGCAAAATAAAAAGAATATACCTATAATATTTTTAGTAGGTTCTAAATAGAACATTATTGTTAAATTGTTAAATCGAAATTTTTGATGAAAATATTCTTATCACGGGTAGGTACCCGTGTGTAGTTTATGTGTGTAGGTACACACATAAACTTTTCAACACAACTTGGTAGGTATAATTTCTAATACTTGATAGATATATTACCCGAAAAAACATTTTCTTCTTTCACTGTTATGTGGGTATGCTCTTAAGTCTTTACCTAAGAGTATCTCTTCTTCTTCCTCCTAGCCGTTCTCTATCCTCTGGATATAGGCCTCTCGCAGATTTTGCCAGGTATTTCTATTCTGTGCGACCTGGTACCAGTTTAGTCATGCTGTTCGCCTAATGTCGTCGTACCAGCGTTGTTAAGGTCTGCCGACGCTGCTTTGTTCCCCCCAGGGTCTCCATCTTGTTACTTTCCTACTCCAATTGTTGCTTGTGTTTCTCGCTACGTGGCTGGCCTAGTTCCATTTGAGGGTGCATATTCTATATGTAATATCTTCGACATTTGTTGTGTTTCCTATCCCTTAGCGTAATACCCATCATTCTCCTTTCGATTGCTCTCTGATGTACTTGCAGCTTATTCAGGATTTCCTTTGTGAGCGTCCATGTATCGCTTCCAACGGCAACACTGGCAGAATAAAATCGTTGTGGTTAAATGTATTAGTTTTCAGCTTCAAAGGTAACTTGGACCAGAATATGTTGCGCATTTTACCACGTCGCCCATTCCAGTCGTATTCTCCTATTAATTTCAAGGTTTTGATCGACTGCCAAGTTTTATTTCCTGGCCTAGATACTTGTAGGAGTTTACTTTTTTCGCCTGTTGGTTTTCCATGGATATTATGTTCCTATCTGTTTGCTCATTTGTCATAAACTCTGTTTTTGATATGTTCATTTCCAATTCTAACTTCCTGGCTTCTTGGAGTAATTCTTTCAGCATGATTTCTAAGTCTGTTTCCGTTCCGTTCGGGGCGAATATTACGATGTCATCGGCGAATCTTAAATTATTGAGGTTTTCTCCAGATATATTGAGCCGTCTATTTTCCCAATGTAGTTCCTTGAACACATCTTCGAGGACTAGGGTGAACAGCTTTGGTGATCTTATATCGCCTTTTCTTACGACTTTTATGATCTTCACTGTGTTTGTATCTTTGCATTTTTAATTTTATTTTTGCTGCTTCTTAAATGTTTTTGATTATGTTAAGGTATACATCGCTGATGTATTCGTGCATTTATCATAGCTCTTTTTTTTATCGCTTAGAATTCAACAGTGTCAAAGGCTTTCCTGAAATCGATTAATGCTAGCCTTGTTGTAATGTTATATTCGGTCGTATTTTCATTTAGTATTCTTATTGTTCTTTAGGTTGGTAATCATCAAATTTCCTTTCTAGGCGATTGGTGGTAGTATATCTGAGACAGGAGGCTTATGGGTCTATAGTTTCCAAATATTTTATGGGTTCCCCTTTTTTGTATATCAGAACGACGATGGCAGTTTCCCAGTCTCGTGGTATTTTCCCTGTTGAAAAGTTTTTCAGTTGTTTTACAAGGTATTCTCCTATCTCCCTCAGCATTTCTGGTAGTAAATTCCTTGGGCTTTTCGGTTGTTTAATTGGCAGTGCATTTCCAATTTCTTCCACTTCTATATCAGAGATCGCTTCTGACACAACATTTAGAAGTTTGGATGTTTCGGTTTCTTGTTTGTTATTTTCGTTGTTTTCCGCCACACGCAATATTCCATCTCTGTCTTCAACAATGTTTCTTTGTTTGTCCATCAGCTTTATGATTTCTCTTTTGTGTGCGTTCTCCCTTTTGAAAACGTTTAAGCCTTTC